ACGAATTAATAACTTCCTTTGTAAAATCTGTATGTTTCTGTTTATTGCAATATATATAAAATTTAATATGTAAATAGATTAAGAATACTAAAAAGAAAATGCTGATATTTAAATCATATAGTAGTAGTTAGATTAAATGTTAAGTGGTAATTAGATTATAATTATGGTAGTAAAAAATATGAATAGCAAAAAAAATTTAAAAGGATATCTAGAATATAAATTAAATTATATAGTGATAATTAAATTATATTATTTAAATTATATTTAGATTATATAGTAATATTCAAATTATATAGTAGCAATTAAATTATATGATGGCATTTAAATTATATATGATGTTATTTAGATTATAAAATAGTATAAATTATAGAGTGGTATTATTTATATATAGTAGTATTGTACTACTTATATAACTATTGGATATTAAAGATATTATAAATAAAATATATTATAATTTTAATTGCCTTAGAATTTATAATCAAATAAATTTATTTTTTCAAATTCTTTTAAAATTATAAACAATTTATTAATAATTTTCTTTTTTTTATTATAATACATTTATAGATTTATTAAAATTAAATGAACTGCAAAAAAATATATGAAAATATATAATTATAAAACTATTTTAATATTAAATTTATTGATAATATTAATAAAAATTTTTTTCTGGCTTTATTAATTTTTAAAATTAACAAATAATATTTATTAAAAAAATAGAAAAAATATAATATAAAGTACAAATACTTCTTAATAATATTAATACAAAAAAAAAAGATAGTAATATTTTTGTAAAATCATTAATTAGTATTAAATTATACTGAAAATACCACAGTTTAAATAATAATAATGGCTAAAAATTAAGTGTATCAGTAATGTTTTAGAAAATCAGAATCCTTAAAGATTCTTTATAAATAAAAAAATTCTTAAGAATTTTTAAATTGATTATAAAATCCTTAAAGATCTTTAAGGATAAATTTTTATCAAGAATTCTTAAAAGTAAAGATAAATTCTTTGAAGATCCTTATAAATTTAATTAAGAAAAATCTAATTTCCAAAATATTACTGATGTGTTGAAATCAATAAGGACCAGAAATTATAAAATTTGCATTAATTGGTTAAACATTATTATTGATGGAAGAATATAAAAATGATCATTCAAATATATTGGATTATATATAATAAAATAAAGCTTTTTTAATAAATAAAGAATTAGGACTAAAAGAATAACCATTATTTTAATACCACTTTTTAGTATCTTTTTAATAGTTCTTTCTAATATATAAATATAATATTAAAAATATTTTTTTTTTAGATAGAAAAGGTTATAATTTTATTTGGCAACATTTGAATGGTGGCTAGCAAATAGAACAGAAGTATAATATTAGAACAAATATTTGAAGTAAGTTGAATATCTGTAAACAATCAGTTTTTAAATATATTATTAGATTTAAAGCAAAAAGAATTATGTAGCAATATTAGAAATTATTTTATGATGTCACAATCCATTAATGCAATGGATGGGTTATATACAAATACTTGTTTATAAAAATGGTGTACATTGCAAATTTTCAGGAAGTTTTACTTATGCAGTAAGTACTAGAGAAGCAGACTAATGATAATTTTATTTAAAATATTATGGAAAATGTATATGATTAATGTGTATTTTACTTTTCTTTATTTAGTCATGATTTAAAATATTTCTAAATTATAAGCAATTAGTCCAGGATGTACTTACATGCAGGCATGCAGCAATTGCAACATTCCCTTTGAACTTTGATCATTTACTGACTATTATATTTTAAAAAAATACAATATGTATGAATGTAATTATATAATTAATTTAATTCTCCATCATTTCTTCAAATACCAATAACTTTTTGCATTGCTTTATTAAAGTGTTGTTATGTATTGACATGTAAAAGACATTATTAAAGTAATGGAAAATATTAATTGCATGTGCTTTATTTTAGTAAATTCTGACTTTAACATTAATTATGTTATTCCATAATATTGCCAACATTATGCACTAATTAAAATTTCATTATGACTTCCATTTATTTGAGCTAAGCTCCAGAATGAGTGAATTGATCATTTATGAAAGTTCCTTTAGTAGACCTAATATTTCTTCTATATTTTGTTTAATTTTGTGTTTTTTTAGCCATTGCGGTGCTGAGTTGGTTGGGAAGACCATTATCATTATATAACTATAGTTAAAAGTATATAATAGATAAGTATCCCCTCAGTATTTTACGTCTGTATCTGCGTTTAATAACATTAATTGTAATAGGTGCAATAATGCTTGAGTTTTTCTCTTAATAATTATTCATATAATTAAATATTCCCAGTTATTTTAAACAGCTCACCAGTATCTTTTCTATTGCATTAGTATTTTACCGTATAATTTGTTATAACGTTCCTTAATTTTATCTGACTTCTTCCACTCTATTACATTATTTAAATTTCGTAATCTGAACTCTTTAAAAATTGCGGTTTGGACTTCTATCAAGAAATGCATCCAATTTGTTATGTTCCTTTAGAATACCAGATTTAGCTCTTTTTTCTTGAGTTTTTTGTTTGTACTTTGATACTGTATTCCTACTTCTTTAACATACATTCAAATTTCTGATGACTTAATAGGCGTACTATAATTGAATGATAGAAATAGAAATTTGGATAGAGGTTGCTTAATTAGAAAAAAAGGGAGTTACCAAAATTAGAAGTTGTAGCCTTTCGTTTAAATGGTTTTGAGTATCAGAACTGTTGCAATGGTAAAAAGAGATAAATGAGAAGCCGAGAAAAATTTATGTTGGTCAGAGGTTGAATAAATGGGCTAACAATCATGCATCATATGAATTCGTTATTTCATGTTCATGATCAGCCTAACATGTTGTATCATGTTGAGGAAGGTGGCCTTCTATCAATTACATGACGTTATTCATTTTTTTTTATTAGTGAAACTATATATATTATATATTTAGTATATTAAATAATTAAACGTATCGTACCTGTACCTTATGCTTTATTAGTCAAAAATGATAACATTTGATATTTATCAGATTAATGATTAATTCCGTTATTAGATAATATTGAACAAAACATGTTCGAATACGTTTATAAATCCCTATAACAGATAATGCGTATCATCATGTGAATGTGATAATACAGGGCTTCACTACGGCTGCTTCAACTCTGTACAAAGATACACTATGTTTGAATTAGTAGGCTCAACAGTTAGTGTTACCATTTGTGTTAGTTATTATAATCAATTCATACCTCATTGAGATGGAAATGATAATGATGGTTCATTATCATACCTCACCACCATCTAATATCAAAGTACTTGGAGAAGTATGCGAAGGATGCGATATGTATATTAGTTTTTCACTTTTGAAGATTGGCCGTCTGAATAACCCTTTATATATTGATTCATATTCGCCTTACAGTTTAATCGCTGATCCATAATATAATTTCCTAAAAAAAACATCATATTCTAAAGACTTAAAATATTTTCATATATTAAATTCTTCTAGTACTGAGAGGAGGGAAAAGGTTATTTTAGTCAGTGCTACACGGTAATTGGTTTTTAGGATTGTTGAAACATATATCTCAACATGCTTAGAAACAAAAATCCTATAAAAACCAGTCGCCAATTTTTATTGTTACCCTTTTTACAGCAGCAAATCAGCCAAATGAATCTTATATGATACCAAGAAAATAAATATTTTTTTTTTAGTTATATGAATAAAATTATTATAGCCCTTATATTAAAAATTTCTCGTATTATGTATAACAAAAAAAAATTTTTTGTATTGAAAAGAATTTTATTGTGATATATATATATATACAGTATATATGTCGTTATAGAATGAAAATACTAAAAAAAAAGGTGTGGAAGTGGAACCTACCAAGATTTTTCGTCCAATCAGATCGAACATCCTTAAATTATTGATGTTCGGCTCATTAAACATATAAATTGGCATCTTTAAACTTTCTAAACTTTGTAAACAATTTTTTATTAATCTTGGAGTAAATTTTTTTAAAAAATAGATAATTAATTATAATACTTTGAATGGTAAAGTAAGATTTAAAACCATTGTGTGTGGCGAAATTTGTGCAGATCAGTTGACCACTATACGCTACCTAGTAATAATAATAAATATTTTGGAAAAAAATTGTATTAATTATTATCATGGATATAAAATTCCCATGACTCACAAATCTTTCTATAAAAATTATAAAATTTGAATGGTCTTTGTATAAAAGGAAGATAATATGTATATATATATATATATTAAATTTGCGTGTATTACTACTACTATTCCTACTATTCATTAGACATCTACTTTTACGCGTGTATTGTATTTCCTGACAAGTTATACATCAATCAGTTCTTCGAATGGCTTGGTTTCATTGTGTAACCACATGTTTCAATGGCTATTATTCTTTGGTTTTTAGAAAATAAAACCTTATGAATGAAATGTCTTAATAAGGAGGTCTATGATTACCTCATGAGGAATTGAAGTCGAAAGCACTGCGCCACATGATTTCAGTTTATCATTATTGATTGTTATTTATTCTAAGAACGAGTTCCAAATATTCATTTTTTCCCATAAAAATAAATAAAATAAAATGATTGGTTTAAACCTTTTGAAAGTCAAAAAGAATTTCATTATTATTCTTTTTTTTTTTTTTTATTTTTTTCGACAAAAAAGAATGCGTGATTTTGCTATCAATATTTTTATAGTAATTAGTGATACAATTGATATGATTATAGAAAAAACTCTGCAAACAAGCTTATCAGATCGCATGCGGAAATTTGGAATCATTTACCTTTAACAGACATATAAAAAGTGATATGCAATTACGTAACGACATTCTTTCTTTTTTTTATAGTTCAAGTAAGCTTCCAAAAAATGAAAACCCAAAGATTTGTAAGTACGAATCTTTATATATTTTTTTTTAATTTTTTTTTTTTTTTTTTGGAACGCTTAATGGAAAATATGACAAATTCATTCCTTTTTTATTTTAGATATATTTACACAGGGTATTTTTCATTTAATGATAATGAGAATAATCAAGAATTTTTACTTGACTTGATATTCGCAGCCGATGAATTAAAATTAAATGATTTAGTCAAACATTTACAAATTTTTATTATTGAAACTAATTCAAATTGGATAAGAAATAATTTAATTAAAATTTATCAATTATCATTAAAAAGGAATTTTGATATAATACAAGATCATTGTGTGAAATTAATTGAAAAAGAACCTACAATATTATTTATATCAAATAATTTTTTTTTATTAAAAGAATCAGATTTAATTAAATTATTAAAACGTGATGATTTAGAATTACAAGAGATTGATATTTGGAGATATTTACTTAAATGGGGTTTAGAACAAGATCCTACTTTAATAGTATCAAATATTAAAAAATGGTCAAATGAAGAATTTTATAAATTAGAAAAGAGATTACATAAATTAATTCCATTTGTTAGATTTTATAGTATGTCAGCAACTCAATATTATGAAGAAGTTCGTCCTTTTAAAAAAATTTTACCTAAAAAATTAAGAGAAGATATTAAAGCTTTTTATATTTTATCAAATAATGTACCGCCTCCTGATGCTTTACCTCCAAGAAGATTATTTAGACATGAAACTATACTTAAAAGGCAACATCAGATGCGTGATAGAATTAATCAACATTATACCCCTCGTCATAGTATGATTGTAGATATTTTTGATAGAAATAATATAACACCTACTCCTGTCCCACCTGAAGCCCCACCTTATACTTTAGGTAAACATAAAAATATTAGTGATCATGATATTAAAATTAAATATCATGATTTTTTTTCCGTAGAAAGAGAAAATTCTCCAATTCTTAATATTGCTGATTTTAGTTCTGTTTTAATTAACAAAAATCAAGCTAAACGTATAGTACGTTGGATTGATGAAAAAAAAAATTTTATAGTTTGTGGTGAAAGGGTTAATAATAATTCACATATACTTAAACTTTTATTAAGGGGTAGTAGGGATGGTATGTCAAGAGAAACTTTTCATTATTTATGTGATAATAAAGGACCAACAGTAATTGTAGCAAAAGTTGAAAAATCAAAAAATATTATTGGTGGTTATAATCCTAATCCTTGGACCAGTTCAAATAAATGGATTGAATCAACTGAAAGTTTTATTTTTTCTTTTAAATCTGATGGTAATAGGGAAGGAATTGATGATATTATTCTTAGTAGAATAAAAAATCCTTGTGCTGCTATTTTTGATGGTGATAATCAATATGATGTAGGTTTTAGTTCGGATTTACAATTATTTATGGGAACTTATGAACGTAATAATTATGAAAAAAAAATTATGGAAGAAAATCAATTCAGGATGATAGATTATGAAGTTTTCTTAGTTAAAAGGGTAAATAAAAATGATCGAATCGGTTAAATTGGTGGTAAATGGATAGATAATTGGGTAATTGAATAATTGAATGATTGGGTAATTGAATGATTGGGTAAACTGAATAATTGAGTAAACTGAATAATTGGGTAAACTGAATAATTGGGTAAACTGAATAATTGGGTAAACTGAATAATTGGTAAACTGAATAATTGGGTAACTGAATAATTGGGTAATTGGTTATTTTGATATTTGAATATTTTGATATTTAATCAAAGATCTTGATTAAAAAGTGTATAAATTTTCTAGAATCGATTCTATCCGTACGTTTAGAAAAGACACTGGACGTCAAAATTAGCAAAGGGCGTCTAGAGTATCGGTATCGGTATTTGATGATTACCGAAACCGAGAGATTCTGTTCGAGAAGACACGGAATGACAAAGTGTAACACCAAAATAGATCGACTTTAATGATTCGTGATTTTGTCAGGAATTTTTGTCGAGTTGCAAAATTTGCACAAGTCTGATAATAGGATCGACCAACCTACGATCTCGATAGAACCCGTGATCCCATAGGTCATACAAGATGATAATGAATTCAATTTAATTTAAGATTCATTCTTGGGGAAATTTTTTTTTATAAACTTGAGCCTGAAACGGGTCGGACTTCATGGGATAAAACATTGGAGTAAATAAATGGTTTGAATTGAAGGAATAAAAACATTTGAAACATTATTAAATTAATGATAATAATATATCAGCGAACTATAATATTAATCTTATTAATAACGAATAATGATTGTTATAAACGAAATATCTTTTTTATTTTATACGTTTCAATTTTTTATTTATTTGTAGGATTTTAATTGGATGCTAAATTAAAATTATTGTTATGAATATATCTGTACATATTATTTATATATATGTTCTAAAAAAGTATATTGGTATAGTAAAATTTAATTCCATAAAAAGTTAGTGTACTTGCCGTTTAATTGGCTCTACAATAAAAAAATTGTGTTGTAAAACAAACAATTTCAGCAATTTATGCATAGAAGATTCTATTTAACACGAATTTTTCTATTTTAAATATTTATATATATGTAGAAATAATAAAGTAAATAAATAAATATAAATATTTATTTATTTATTTATTTATCCTTTTTTTTTTTTTTTTTTACTTTATTAATATTAAGTTCATATACCATACAAACAAATTATTATAAGCTATATCCCTGTCTCTTATACACATCTAGATGTGTATAAGAGACAGATCCTAAGAAGTAACTATTATTTTAAATTATTTAAAAACATATTAGGAATGGAAATGACTGTAGATCTAACATCATCTTTATTTAGGGATATTGAAAGTCTTTATAAGAGGATTGAAATAATTGATAATGATGAAGATTGTGATGTAACACTTAAAGTTAAGAGAAATTATTTTAAAGCACATTCTTTTTTATTAAAAGCAAGATCAGAATATCTTCGTAATCTTATTGAAAATGATAGATTACAATCAATATTTAGAAGAAATATTACCATTGAAATTTCTAATATGTCTCCAGATATATTTAAAACATGTTTAAAGTGAGATAATTTTTTTTTTTATTCTTTTTTTTTAAAAAAAAAATTATTCTTTCTAATTAATGATATCTTTTTTTATTATTATTATTATTAGTTATATTTATACAGGAGATATTTCATTAAAAGAATATGATGATAATGAATCAATTTTTGATTTAGTTATTGGAGCCAATATTTTAAGTCTTATTGATATGGTCGATTATCTTCAAAATTATCTTATTAAAAAAAAATCTTTTTGGATCGAACAAAATTTAATTAGAATTTATCAAACTTCTTTAAAAATTCAAAATTTTAAAATCTTAACATCATATTGCGAAAATCTTATTAAACAAGAACCTATATTATTATTTGAATCAGAAAATCTAACAACTTTAGAGAAAAGAAATTTAATAAATATAATTAAATGGGAAGATTTACCTATAAAAGAGATTAAAATATGGCGTGGTTTGGTTAAATGGATTATTGGACAAAAACCTTCAATGAATGTTGTTACTAATAATTGGAATGATTCAGATTTTAAAGAGTTTGAACGTCGTGGAAAAGATTTTATACCACATATAAGATTTTTTTGTATTACTTCAGATGAATATTCTGATGATGTTCGTACTTTTAGAAAAATATTACCAAAAAATTTGATAGAAAAATTAGAGGTATTTTATTTAAAAAAAACCCCACCTCCTTATGATGCACTTCCACCACGTAAATTTGTTGATACTATATTAATAGATAAAATTCAAATTAAACATATATTACATTGGATTTATGGATATAATGAATTTAATGAGAATAATATATTAAAATCAAAAATTGATTTTAAATTATTAGCGAGGGGAAGTAGGGATGGTATGGGACGTGCAGCATTTCATTCATTATGTGATAATAAAGGACCAACCCTAGTTATAGCAACAATTGATAAAACAAATGATATTATTGGTGGATATAATCCAAGTCCATGGACTAGTTCAAATCAATGGATAGTAACTTCCGAGAGTTTTATATTTTCATTCAAATCTAAGGATGAAAATAATAATGATATTATTCTTAGTAGAATAACGAATCCATCAGCTGCTATTTGGGATGGTGATAATGGTTATGATATTGGGTTCAGTTCTGATTTACAATTATTTAGCGGAGAATATAATCAGAAAAATTATAAAAATAGGATTTTAGATTATGAAATTTTTAAAATTACAGATTATGAAGTTTTTCAGGTTGATAAGAATATTTAATTGTTTGAAGAGCGTCATATTAATTAAATTTGTATCAAATTTATTAAATTTATTAAATTTATTAACGTTAAATAAAAAAAAAAATAAAATAAAAAAAAAATTAAAAATTAAATCGTAAAATCGTATTAAATTTTTGTATCAAATTTATCAAATTTATTAAATTTATTAACGTTAAATAAAAAAAAAATAAAAAAAAAAATTAAAATTAAATCATAAAATCGTAAAATCATATTAAATTTCTGTATCAAATTTATCAAATTTATTAAATTTATTAACGTTAAAAAAAAAAAAAAAAAATTAAAATTAAAATTAAAAAAAATTAAAAAATCGTAAAAAATCGTAAAAATCGTAAAATCGTTATAATTTTTTCCCGAATATCTCCGTAAAAATCCGTGGATTTACAAAAAAATCGCAAAATAGTATGATAAATGGAAAGTTTCCATATAGAATGATTATACATTTGAAGATTAAACCTGAATTTGGATTAGAAGTTACAACGCGATTTAAATAATATAATTTACTTTATATTTATTATTTATTATCAAGTATAATCTTATTATTATTCGATTATCTCATCGTTTATTTTTAAATTCTTAAATTTCTATTCTTGATTATGTTGTGAAAACATGATTTACAGATTAATTTCAAATGAACGAGTCAATTTAGTAATAGTAGTTTTACAAAATCAGGCTTTTTCTTTCATAAATTCCGAACTCCGGAATGAAACATGTGTAACACGATCATCAAACAATATAAATAATAACGGATGTCATATATATTTTAGTCGGTTTTTTTTTATTTTAAAAAAAAAATATAATTCATTCTAACGAAACAATCTATTATTATTATTATTATTATTATTTATTTATTTATTTATTTATTAAAAAAAAATGTCCATGGATATTGTGGATTTAAAACCTTCTTTATTAGAGGATTTAAAGAAACTTTACAAGAATCTTGAGAAAGATAATAACAATGATTATAATGTTACAATTAAAGTTGAACAAAAAAGTTTTAGAGCTCATTCAGTAATATTAAAACTTAGATCTGGATATTTTCGTAATCTAATAAATAATGAGATTAGAAGAATGGCGAATATGTTTAATAGAAGAATTACTTTAGAAATTTCTGATATAAATTCAGAAGTATTCGCATCATGTTTAAAGTGAGTCAATTTTTATCATTTTATTTAATAATCAAAAAATTTCGAAATTTTAAAATTAATTTTATTTTATTTTTATTAGATATATTTATACTGGGGAATTTTCATTACAAGAAGATAATGATTTTTTATTTGATTTATTCATCGCGGCCGAAACATTAAAACTTATTGATATGGTCGATTATCTTCAAAATTATTTTATTCAAAATAAAACTAAATGGATCGAAATTAATTTAATTCGAGTTTATCAAGTTTCTTTAAATAGTATAAGTTTCAATGAATTACAAGTTCATTGTAAACAAATTATTGACCGAGATCCTAAATTTATATTTCTTTCAGATTCATTTCCTACTTTAAAACGTTCAATTTTATTGGATTTAATTAAACGTAATGATGAATTTCTTACTGAAATTAAAATATGGCGTCATTTAACCAATTGGGTACATGAACAAGAACCTCCTATTAATAGAGACACTCAAAATTGGAGTCCATCTAATATAATCGATTTTGAAGAACGAATAAGAGATTTTATTCCACATATTAGATTTTTTACAATATCTTCAGATAATTATTATAGTTGTGTTCGTCCTTATAAAGATATATTACCACAGAAATTGGTGGAACAGTTAGAAAAATTTTATCTTGTGAAAGAGGCTACTCCACCTCCTAATGCGCTTCCACCTCGTACACCTCGTAGACTGAGAAGAAACATTTCAACTTATTCTACGCGGTCACCTACCGAACCTACTACTCCTACTGAACCGAGATTACAACGTATTATTTATTTCTTTTTCTTTTTTTTTTTTTTTCACGTATTAATTTCCGTCATAATTTTTAAAATTTTCCTTATTTTACTAGGAAGTCCAAGTCGTATTCTAGCAAAGGTTCCTATAGTTGTTAATCGACCTAGTATTCGTATAAAACCCATTTCTAGTATAATTAATATCCGGCAAATGAAACGTATATCACATTGGATTGATAGAGTTGAATCAGGAGATATTAATAGTGATTTCTTTTTATTAGCGAAGGGAACCTGGGATAGTATGACAAAAATAAAATTTCATAATTTATGTGATAATAAAGGTCCAACTCTAATTTTAGCAAGAATTGATAATACAAATGATATTATTGGTGGATATAATCCACATTCTTGGACTAGTTCAAATGAATGGATTGGATCAACTGAAAGTTTTATATTTTCATTCAAATCTGAAAGTAGGGAAGGAATTGATGATATTAATTTTAGTAGAATAAACAATCACAATCCGAATGCTGCAATTTTTGACGGTGATAGTAATTTTGATGTGACATTTGGTTCAGATTTATCATTATTTAGTGGAGAGTATAAACATGTTCATTATCAAAGAAGAATTATGAATTGTGGTACATTTACAATTAAAGAATTTGAAGTTTTTCAAATTAGAAGAAATATTAGGACGGCCTAAGTTTAACATTCGTTTAGTTATATTTCTAAATTCTAGAATTCGCGTATTTAATATTAATAATTTGTAAATTTAAGGGCGATTGCCAAAGTTATTATATAAATAAAAAAAAATCGTATATTTTTTGTATTTTATGTTCTACAAATCCGTTAAATCCATGGAAAAACATGCTAAGTTTATGTGGAAGGTGTACTCCTGAAGATTAGACCTGATTTGGATTAGTGGTCGATGATTTGAAAACGCGAATGAAGTCACTATTTATGAATTTTGTTAATATAAATACAAAAGAGGTAAAAAACAGCATTAATGGTAGGTTCTGAGGCGAAATTTGTTTTCTAATCTAAAAATTAAAACAAGTGCGTGATAAAGTTTTCGTGCGTGATGAATTTATAAGTTTTAAAACTAAATTGGCTGGAACGCTTATCTTTATTAAATTACTTTCAAGAAACCCAAATAACATTTTAAATGACAGAAGCAAAAACTCAAAATTTAGCTTTGAGACGGCACATAACGAAGCATATAAAAAAATCACACGGTAAAAATGATGGGCATCTCTTAGAACATGTGTCAGTTACGTCACATACTATACAATATGTTATATATATTTCTATTCTTTCTATTCTTGATTATATTGCATGAGCTTTTAATACAAAATCAGACATTTCATTATCTTTCATGAATCCGGAATAATAATAAAAATATGCCGTAACACGAATAATAGTATAAATATAGTGAAAAAATGAATGTTAATGCTTTCTTTTTCCTGGTCAATTTTTTTTTTTTCTGAAATTTTTTTTTCTAGCCAATTTTTTTCTAAAAAAAAAAATATCGTTTGTTTCAAACTTTCTATTATCTATTATTAGTTTTTTTTATTTATAAAAAAATGTCTGATGATATTGTGGATATTGTGGATATTATAGATTTAAAACCTTCTTTATTAAGGGATTTAAAGAACCTTTACAAGAATCTTGAGAAGGATAATAATAATGATTATAACGTTATAATTAAAGTTGACCAAAAAAATTTTAAAGCTCATTCAGTAATATTAAAACTTAGATCTGAATATTTTCATAATCTTATAAATAATGAACTCGCTAAAAAAATGGTGAAGTTTAGTAAAAAATTGACTTTAGAAGTTTCTGATATTAATTCAAACGTATTCGCATCATGCCTAAAGTGAGTTAATTATAATGATCATTTGTTTGTTTCAATGATTTCGAAATTAAAAATTAAGATTTATTTATTTATTTTTCTTATTAGATATATTTATACTGGGAAGTTTTCATTACAAGAAGATGATGATGTCATGTTTGATTTATTCATCGCCGCCGATAATTTAAAACTTATTGATATGGTCGATTATCTTCAAAAATTTTTTATTGAAAACAAATCTTATTGGATCGAAAACAATTTAATTGGAGTATATCAAACTACTTTAAACCATGAAAGTCGTAAAAAATTACAAACTTATTGTGAAGGAATTATTGAAAAAGATCCAGAATTAATATTTATATCAGATTTATTTCATACTTTAAAAAAGACAATTTTATTAAATTTAATTAAACGTGATGATATATCACTTCCAGAATTTGAAATATGGTATTATTTAGTTACATGGGTACATGAACAAGAACCTCCTATTGATAGAGATCTTCAAAAGTGGGATTCATCTGATACAATTAAATTTAAAGAACGAATAGGAGATTTTGTTCCATATATTAGATTTTTTGCAATAACTTCAGAGGATTATTATATTTGTGTTCGCCCTTACAAAGATGTATTACCAGAAAAATTAGTGGAACAGTTAGAAGAATATTATCTTACGAAAAAGACTTCACCACCTCCTGATGCACTTCCACCTCGTGAAATGAAAGAAAAAAATCCAAATTGGCTCAAGCGACGTCATAGTATGGGAAAACAGCCACCTGGATTACAACGTATTATTTCTTTTCTCTTTTTTTTACGTCTTAATTTCTTTAATAATTAACTTTTAATTTTTTCCTTATTTTACTAGGAAAGAATACTCTAGCAAAGCCTCCTGTAGTTGTTCAACCTCGTATAAGAACCGTTTCTAAGATAATCAATAATCAGAAAATCAAACGTATATCACGTTGGATTGACGGAAATGAATCAAATGAATTAGGAGACAGCAATAATAATCACGACTAAAAGTTTTATATTTTCATTCAAACCTGATGGAAATATTGATGATAAATATTCTTGGTAGAATAAAAAATCCAGACTTTGCCATAGTAGTTTTGATGTGGGATTTAGTTAAGATTTATTATTATTTATCAGAGAGTATAAGTATAACATTTATGATAAAAGAATTATGAATGATGATAGATTTAAAATTAAAGATTATGAAATTTTTCAAGTTGAGAGAAAAGAATAATTCTTATATATCCATACAGTATATACGATTATGTATAAATATGTATAATATAATTGTTTTATCACAAATAAAATATTTATTAATGTATATAAAAAAAACTTGTAAATTTGGGGATACTTCCGTTTTTATATCACGTGATACATTTAGTTTATAATTCTTAATTCTGACCAGACTTATACATAATTCGGCAATTTCTTTCGCGTGGTTACACCTTAAGTTAGGCGAGACGACTCCCATATGGTGGGGTCGGAATATAACTTGTTTAGGTTTAGTTTAGTCCTGTATTTGTAATACTAGTCCAATCCCTGTTCTTGTCTATATTATAAAATAAGAAAACATAATTCTAGCCAGATTTATGTAGCTGATAATCAAATGAAAGTAATTTTGACCAGATTTACACAGGGTAAAGCGCCAAAATATTCAGTTTTAAAGTAAACTATATTGAACATTTTACGGAAAATTAAAAACGTAGTTTATTTAAAGTTTAATCTGTTTTATTATTGTATAATTAATTACATTTTTTTTTTTGATTGGGTAATAGTAATTTGAATTCATCAAATTTAGTTGTTGGAACTTGGAACCAAGTTGTATGTCCTTACTGTATTAATGCAATTTTTGAAATATAAAACAATTTCTATTTTTATTTTTAAATACCAATTATTAGATACCTAGAAACTGTATTAGCTATATAATTTGACAATATCCTTACAAGTTATGTTCAGGATGATAATGTATGCAATTTCCCGAAGAGTATCTATTATTTTGCGATTTTTCTTGACCATTAGGAATGGTCATGGCTCTTTTTCTCGTTCAGTTAAATCGTTGTTCACTTCAAAGGATTTTTCAGCAAGAATTTCTACCAACTTGCTGTTGTTGTTTTTGAAATTCTACATGTGCTTGACTAACCGAAAGTTCCTCCATTTTAATAAGGTTCCTAGTTCAATTGAATCGATATATATATGTATAACGAATCATTACTGTGGTGAAAGAGAGAATTTATTATTGTTACTCAATTGTGTACTCTTTTATGAACATAATTGTCTTCAAACTATCGTATGACATTAGTTATTTACTTCTAAAAGTTTTTTTTTGTTTTAGATTATCAAATTCCATGTGAAGATAAAATCACTCATAAAAAATGCCAAAGCGTTATTGCATAGCAATCAATACCGCGTGCAAATACTGAAGCTTTTCTCTTCATAATTTCTGAAAAAGAGGTAACAATACAAAGATGGAATATATAAATATTAGGTTGCTGATTTGTTACTAAATTTAAATCTGAAAAGTTTAATCAGATATAATAAACGTCATAATTGAAAAAGCGGAATTTGTTCATATGTAGTTATGTACAATTTAAATATATTTATTGCTTGTAAAAGATACAGCCAAACTCGACCCATATAAAAATCATTGAAAAATATCGTTATATTAAATCATACTGATATTATATGTTCTCTCATATAGTGAGGAAGTAAAATTTTATCGTTATATCGAGTTTTAAGTCTGACTGTATATCTTGATTACGGCTGAAATTCATTCATTTATATTAAGACATTCTACTATTCCAGCTTTTTTTAAAAAAAAAAATCTCAAATTCTATAGAAAATTTCGAAATTTTCTAAAAAACTATCCTTTATGACAATCAAGTTCGCGCCTAACAAGTTTTGCAGATATGATAAGCGTTAATGAGTTCAGTTATGACTGTAAAGATGGCGCCGCAACTAGGCCTTACTAATCGCAACGCAATAGGGTGTCCAGGATGATTTTTTCACGATTTTGGTCATTTTTTCACGCCAAAATCGCGATCGCAATAAAATTTGATTGGATAATTTAGAGATGTGATCATAATTTCAATGATTAGAATTATGATAAAGTTAGTTTTGGCTGAAATTACCGTCAATTCGCGATTTTTCACGATTTTCATCGCGACAACCCATCCTGGACACCCTAAACCGCAACTCTAAGTTTTATTATATAGACAGTTGAGGCGTCAACCTTAGTTATGAGTAAAATTTTCGCGACTATAACCGATTCCAGTTATCTTTCACAACTTTATTTTCAGCGGAAGTACTCATTTGAAATTTTTCTTAATAAAACTTTTTTTTTTCGCAAAAATAGATCCCGAAAAAAATATATTTGTCAATTTTACAAAATCATAAAATATAATTTCATTTATTTCAGATTTTTTTAAAGAAAAAAATTCTTATACCAATTTGTAAATATCTCATATTATTTTTTTTCATTTAGAAAGTAATAAACTAGCAGTTGAATAAGGTACATTACAAACCCATGTATTTTCATTCTTACCTTTACCAATTATAATTCCATTTTCACTTGTAGCCCCGAAAATATTTTTATTATTATTTAACCTTAATAAAGATGTTGAATCCATAGTGTCTTGGTCTGTCATTGTTAATATAATTTGTGTTTCATCTATTATTAATAAATAAATGAATTTATTTAATAATAAAATCGTATTTTAAATATTTTTAAGGATTTTTTAAAAAATTATTTTACCATTTTGATCTTTTAATTTATTTTGTAGTAAGATTGTATCAGGTTCGTTTTTTTTATAAAATAACTGAAATAAATAAAGATTTATTAATATTTGTTCAATATATATATATATCTTATTATAAGATTGTTTACCTTGACGAATTGACCTTCCTTAAGATCCATCATAGTATCAACGGCCAAATTTCCTTTTACAGGATCTCCACTTGATATTTTATAAACTATTAAAGTAGATTCCTATAATTATAAAAAAAAATATATAATATAAATTCTTATTTTTTTTGCGTAATATAAACAATAGATACATAATAAAAATGAATAAATTACATCCAATTGATTCTCTTTATTATCGGAATTATATAATCCGATATATAATTCAGTTTCTTTTGACAAAAAATTTTTATCATCAACGAATTGTAATTTATCAAGAAGCAATTTAGTTGGATTTGTTCCATCAAGTTTCAGGATTATATTTCCACGACAACTTGAATAAAAAAATATATATACATATATTTTAGGTAAAAAAAAAATGATTTAAAAAATTCTTAATTCTAAAATAAAAATACCTTGTAATTTTTAATGGATCTCCGATGGTACTTAATGAAGGATGTTCAATTTGAAATTGATTTTTGAATTCATTTGGTGATTCAGCTGTTAATGCTACTCCTATTGTACCTCTAGAAAATATATTATTATTATGAAATAAACTAAAAGGTTGACCTGTTAAGAAAGGAGTTGATGTCCTAATATTTATTATATTAAAAATAATTTATTAGTTTTGTAAAAAGTATATTATGATTTTTTAAAGAAATTTAATTACCCAATTATTCCAATCTAACTTGACAAAAAAAAATTGTTAGTAAGGTAATATAAACTAATAAGATTAGAAAAAAGGACAAACCTTTTTACTTGTAGGAAAATGATGATCCAAACTTTCCAAGAATTGATATGGCTCGGAATCAGAAACCAAGAAAATCAAGTCCGGGCTAAATAATTAAAATTCATTTTAATGAAAAATATTTATTTAAAAAAATAAAAAAATAAAATAAAATTACTTTATATTCTTATTTTTTAAAATTTTTAATTCTTCAGGTAAATCAAATTCATTAGGAACACTTGAAATAGATTTAAATTTATTAATATCAAATAAATCAAATGATTCATTATCATTTTTAATATCATCAAGACTTTTCCATCTACCAACAGAATTTGATTTAAATTGATGTTTTGGTCCTTTAATATTTGTACAAAATCCACTAAAATTTTTCCAATTTCCCAATAATAGTGAAATACCATGTCCATTATTATTTTTGGTATTATTATTATTATTATTATTATAAATTTTATCAACAACGCATCCTCCTAAAAATTTTGGTTTAAATTTTGAATAAAGATATTGAGGAATAATTTCAATATCTTTTAATTCATAAGTTCTTGATACAAATACTAAACAAACATCATATTCTTTAGGTGAAGATTCGCTAAGAGTATCAATTGCTTCTTTAATTGAAATGTGACTTGCACTTAAAGTTGTCAATAATTTTTTAGAATCATTAAATGAATTAAATGACTGTTTTTTAAAATTTGTTAATAAAGGATTAAAATTGGATGATCTATTTAAATTGCGAATTAAATTTAATAAAGTCATTGGTAAAAAAAATTGAGAAAGATGATTGATAGTAAAAAAAAAAAAAAAATTTTTTTTTTTTAGTAAACATTTTTGTAAATGTTTCTCGCCGATCACCGATTATACCTGAGTTCTAACAAGTTTAATTTCGTATTGGGTAAATTATTATTATTTACCGAAATTACCAAAATTTTAAATAATTTAAAAAAAATTTCAGTTTCTTATACAATCTGATTTTCTATAATTACATAGTATTTTTTTCTCTTTGTCACAATTAACATTTTTCGTTTAAAATTTTATTGGTAATTATAATAGTTATGTGCGTGATAAGTAACAATTCGGATATTATCGCTATGAAGAACCATATGCTTGTAATGTTTTTTTCTGTTTTTTCATAATTAATAAAGTTACATGCATACATATTTATAATTTAATTTTAGTTGGGTTCCGCTCAAATGATTATCCGGGATATTGCACGAAAATGGAAATTATATTCAAAAAAGACAGCGAACAAAAAAAAACATTAATAATTAACGTATACATGCCATGTGATGATGCGTTAAAAGACAAGAAATCAAAAAAAGGATAAAAAGCGCTTTATATAATAGTAATGGGAGTTTAACGAGCCAGATAATAATAAGAAAAAAGAAAATAAATTCATTCAAATGCTATTAAAACACAAGTTGATTGATATTCATATAACTTTAGTGGGGACTAATAGGGTAAGAAATACTTGGAGTAATGGTAATACATCATAGAAATTTTGGATAAAATCGTACAAAGTTAAAGCTGACGATAGACTAAAACCAAAATAAAAAGTGTTAATCTATTTAAATAACTAAAATAGAAAATAGTTTTCCTATATTTGTTTGCGTACAAAATTTCACTTAGGATAAAGAGAGGTATATAATTTATTCCTACACTAGAATAGATAGTCCTTTACCAACAACAAAGATAGAACACCCAAATAGAGGGCCTGGAGTGGTTACCAGACAATCATACCCAGTAATTCTCTTGTTCAAAAATTTGTACCCTTGACAACAAGTTATTCTACCTTTGCAAAGTAAAAGAAACACACCCTTTCATTCAAAGAATCAGACTAATCTGGAACAATATTTTTCATTTCATCTAAAAGAAAGAAACCCAAGCATTACTAAGATTCCACCAATTCACTTGAGATGTGGTTAATGAAGAAAAATTAATTCTCTGTGACGCAGACGGAAATGGTTTTGTGATCCTGTAAATAAGAAATAAGAATGCCACGACCAGCTCTAAGCCTCTAACATTAACATCAATAGCAGAAATTATATGAAATAGAATGTTAGTTAGAAGAAAGACGGATGCTACTGTAGTTAAAATATTTTATAGAGTCAAAAGCAAGACAGAGTATTTATAGTAAAAATCACAAGTCACTTCTAAAGTAGATAGCGTAGGGAAAGGTATTCAACGATAGAATACCATCATAAATATACCTATATTACTTAATTACTTATGTACTCTAAAGTTAAATGCATCGTAAATATGGAGAACGGTAACAAAATATTCATGTGAGCATGAAATATTTTTACGTTAGTATCTTCACCAACTACAATAGTTATATCATAATATTTAATAATTCAATGTAATGTGACTTTATTTCGAACAGGCATTTTATTAAAAGATATTAGTTTTATACTCATACAGATTTAGATTTACTAAGCATAATGAGTATAATCAAGTTAACGATAGTAGCCTAGTACAGCCTAAAAAAAAGAATTTTTTTTTTTTAATAAAAGATTATCAAATGATCAATCGGTAAATCATATGACCGATACCATTATTGGTAAGTAAATAATCTTTTTCAAGTATGGTAAGTATGGTACTTGCGATATTTAGCTAGAAAGCATCAAAAAATGGAACATTACTATCTGCTATGACTCAGAGCAATTTTGAGGTAGATGAAGGATCTTGATGACCAATGAAGGATTAAGTATTTGTAAAGCAAAAAGTTTGAAAAATCTAGGTAATAATACAATTTTAGAATCATTGAATGCTTTTCAGTTAGGTGTAATCGTATCACCATCAGTTTTTAAACTTTTTACTTTTTTTATTTTTTATTTATTTATGAGTGGTTGCTTAAGCAACTGTACTTTAGTTACTTCACTAGTGAAGAATTACAATTTTTTTTCATAGAATTTTATTTTTTCTTAGTGATAGATATAAAGAAATATAATCAATCAACTCAAAACAATGAAGAAAGCACACAAAGGTATTACTATAAGTATCGCCAATATTTTTTCTCAGCAAAGATTCAAATATGTTTAATGTTCCAACCACGATCAAAGCTAGAATTCTCAAGGAACATAACAAATATATCACCAGTTCTTTCACCAGTACTTATACGTAACTAGTGACACTGGTGACAGCTAATAACAAAAAAATCATCCTAGTTCCTGAACGAATTTTTCATTTCAAAAATTCAGTATACTCGTTGATTTAACCATAAATGAGTCTCAGATATTTATTTATTTATTTTATGTAAAGCAGGAGAATTACAATGAAAGTCACTACACAATTCTGACGAATAAACATAAGCGGACACCATTATAAAACTTCGTCCAAACCATGGTGCGAAACCAAGGGAGCGGACCCTCACTTGATTAGTCCCACCTATCCTGGATCCCGACCGATAAACACACCAAAAAACTTATAAAAACTCCTAAAAGAAAAAGAAAATTAAAAAATAATAAATCGGTGGGAAGTGATAGCTAATCTTTTAGAAGTACAATATACAAGTGGTAGATGACTATACATAAAAGGGTACGTGTCTATAATCTATAGAGCGACTACTAGTATAATTGGAGATGCTAGTCCACTATGTAGAAAGTTAGAAGAGGAAAAAAGAATAAATAAAAGATCTGTACTATTTTTATCATTTCTGTAGTCGAAATACGGGTTGCAGTAAACGAATGCTGTTCTGGAGCGTTGCGTTTGGCGAAAAGTCCGCGATGAGTTTGAACGATTAAGGCCTGTAGTCTTTGAAATGTTGTTTATATTATTCGTCTTTTTCCAGTCCTTCCATCTGACGGATCGAGTTTTCCACAATTTGGTTTAATAAAGGTAATAAAATGCTTGAAATACTTTTGTGCGTATTGAAGTGAGCTGTGAAGATACTAAATAGGTCGTGAGTTACATATAATCTCATTAGTAGGATAGCTTCCATTGTTATAGGCTGTTGTTCGAAGGCCCATTTAAATGTTTTTGAATGTTTGATAGTATCTGGAACGCAGATAGAAAGTTTATCAGCTTCTCTCTGAAGGGTCGCTTGTAGAATCCAAGCGAGGTGAAGGAACGCGTCTTTAGTAGTTGAGTAGAGTACTGGACATCGCCAAAAGTGATTGCTGATTTCAGTTTCATTATCACATAGTAGTCATTTAGTACAGTCTAGTATTATCTTGGGAAAGTTGCGGTTTAGTATATCTAACGTTGGTAAAGTATTGGTCGAAGTTTTAATTTGCCAGGTCGTAATAAATGAGTCTCAGATATACAGTAATAGAAATATATCGCATGCTCCATAGCGGTATCACGTGACTGACACTGTAAAGCGCCATTATTCCATATTTTCTGTCAGAAATTTGAGACACTATATCTCGTCATCCAGCTACCCAATTCTTAGCACTGGAAAGAACTCGTTAGTCGTTACTAAAAACCATAAATCCAATCACGATATTCCGCCCAAAAAGATCAGGCCAAAATTTCACTGCGCCTTCCAGTACAACTTGATAGTAGATATATTGTACCCAAATAGATTATAATGTCCAGGTTCATTATAGTATAGAATATGTTATTTACAGTATTTTAAACGCGCAAAACCAAAATTTTTGTGTCTGTAACACACTTCGGTGAATTAGAATGTTTACTAATCGCATTGTACTGTGCTATCTTGGTAGAAAAATTAGTTTTTATTAAGAGAAATGATTAATTTTAACTACATATTAAATAAATAAACCAACTGAAAAAAGGTTAGTGGACAGACATGCACATGCATTTCATTGGAAACAATAAAGATATACCGCTGATTTTTTTTTTGAATTTTATCAAAGCTCTTGTTTCAAGTTAGCATGTTTTAAAAACAAAGACTACTTATTTGAATTTCGTTATTAGTGCTTGGTGCAACTAGCTGAAATTAAAACTCGAAATGTTAACACGGTTTCAACGTGAAAACAAATTTTTTTTTGGTGTAAGGGAATAGAATAAATTTGTATTAAATAGACACATTTCGATAACTATAATCAATAAGAGAAGAGATTTTTCTTTTATGATATTTCATAAATAACACCCGATAATTTATTTAATACATTTAAAAAGAAACGAATCAAACTTAATAACGGAACAACGGAACCGAACGGATGATACTTAGATTATATTCAATCAATAAAGTCACGCCATTATTTGAATCTTCCTATGATCCTATGTTGAATGCTTATGAGAAACATCTCTCCATAATAAAGAATTTCACCGAAAATGCTCATTAAATCACATTGGCGATTTACTTCCAGTAGCGCAAAATTAAATGCACTCATTTAAAACGTGGCACTGCTCGGCAAATCAGAACACTTTTTTCTGAGCAATTTTAAAATACTATTATTTGATAACCATTATTACTATATCAAATAATATTATAATAATTAAAAATAAACAATTAAACATAATACCTGTTGCACTGCAAAATAAATAATACCAAATTCAAAATAATATTGATGATGTAAGTTGTTATGATGTAATGTTTTTGATTGAAATTTTGCTTATGCGAAAGATTATCGGACATATTAGGAACAAAAGATTTTTCATTTATACTTAAGTATGTAAATGCCACAAAATATTTGTTGATTGTACTTCGGCTTCGCCCAATTATGCTTCGCCATCAAACTTCGCCATAAAATATGCTTCGCCATAATCAATTATGAAGTTATACTTCGCCATCAAACTTATGAAAAAACATTTGAGGCGCAGGGTAATAATAAAAAGGAGCCCAATTTTGATTTTTGCAACTTTTTTTTATTCCCTTTTTT